AGAGGAAAGTATTAGTGAGAGACAATTCAGAGTACCCATCAAAAGTTTATGGATATTTGATAAGGGACTGCACTGTATGAAACGACTCCATTAAAATCAATGGAAGTTCAACACCGACCACACTAAGATCAGAGTAAAACCCAATGCACTTTTGAAAACTCCATATTCTGTAGAATCAGTCCAACATAACAAAGACTACCTGGATAACAGCTGTGCACAAATCCTCCCCCAACATCCCTCTACCAGTGTCTAAACCCTGACCTCAGTGAACTAGGTTGTGAGAAGACAGGTCACCATTCACTTTATTAAATCCTTACCCTCTTTGAGACACTGCCAACAAGATTGCAAATTACAGTCAGTTGTGGTAGCAGGGGCTTTTTGCTTTGTTTTGTCCAATGGGAAGATTTTTAAACTAACAAAGCTTTAGAAACCCATCATATGGTAGTAATTTTTGGCCACTATAATTGGGTTGAATACAAGTCAGTGCCTCAAGGATGAAAAAATTAACATGGTTCCTGTCTTCCCAATTTGTTTCATTTGCAAAAGCTTGGGGATTTACCTTTCACTATAAAAGGGGTGTGAAATTTCACATTACATGTTTTCATTTGTTTGTTCCACTTTCTCTTGGATCCTGCTTCTTCTAAAACAAAAAGGTCATGTTCAGTATGGCATTGTATAAATATCCATGCTGCAGGTTTGACCTTCAGTTCTCAGTTTTGGGGTGACTTATCTGAATTTCTGTGAGCCTTTCTTATATTTCTTTCTTATATTTCTCTTTTGGTTTTCTTTATTCCCTTCAGGCACAATTAGAAAGAACTTAGTGCATATCCAGTAGACATCATTTTCATTGTACTCTTGGCTTTATATTTATTCTTTTCCTTTTCATTATCCTATTCTTCTTGATTATTATTATTAAAATTTTCCCCTTCCACTATTTTACTGTTTATTTGTTTGCAGTTTTATTGGGTAATATTTATTTTGTACTTTTATTATACTGTATTTTTAAATCTTATTACTTTGAAATCATTCTTCCCTACAAATTTTTTATAGTCCATAACTATTGTAAATATCTGCATATACTCTTAAAAGTGTAATATGTTACAGGAAAAATTAATTTGACCCAGCTTGTTCCCCGCAGCTAGGATTCACAGAAAATTTAATTCCTGAATTTAAAAGAACTGACCCTCAAATCACAAAAGTCAGTTATAACCATATACTAAATATCCTACAGCAATTTAAACAGATTTATTTATACTCTGTTATTTGGGCTTTTACGACAAATACAAAATACACAACAAAAATATCAAACAACGAAAAATATTCTCTCCCTAAAATACAATAGCCTAAAAAGACTAAAAATCTTACTGATCCAAAGAAGCCTGATCCAGAGCCTCAGAAGGCAACAAAAACCATCCAACTGACTTCTGAGGACTGGGCCAGGGTCTTTGCAAACCTGCTGTATCAACTTCCCATTTTAAATCACATCTTACCAGTAAAATTTCCACCAATTAGATATGGAATGACACCTCCTGGCCATATTCTCTCTGTCCGTGATGTAGCAGCCCTGGGATATCGATTTTTCTCATTTTTTCCTGAAAAATTTACATTTGCTCTTGCCTTACTTGTATTATTTTGCTCAAAGCCTGCAACGACATTTAAAATGCTATATAAGACCAAAGAGATCACAAAGCAAAACTTGTATTTTATGCTTTTATCTGTTTTTCTTTATGCACTCTAATAACTGAATCTAATTTTTACACATGCAATTTGTATTTTCAATGTGATATATAACAATAATTTATGTTTTTAGTTGTGGAAAGACTCACCATCCTCAGTATAAGAATTTATACAAGATAGGACCAAAAAAACAAAGAAATACTTTATCACCCTTAATAGATTGCCAATATAATTGGTTCTAGATTATTTTAATTTGGCCAAAACACCTATATCTATGTTATGCAAAAATAATTTAAAATTTCACTACCCCAAAATAACTTCAATCTTTTGACATTAAACTCATAATGTATAATTATATTTTAATATTCTTCAAGTGTTAGATTGCAAGATAAATGTAGACTCCATATACATATATGTAGTATGTAATTATTATTGAATCGTCTGGTATGGCATGGACATCCTACCCTTATCAGCTTTGTTTAGGGTTAGAAGCAGGTAGACATTTATACAAAACTGAGTGCCAATAATTATTACACAATTATTAAAATTAAGGAAGAACCAAATTCTTATATCAAGAATACAGAGAGGTGCCACCACACATTTGCAGTCAGTTGCTGTGCTGTGGCTAATCTTACAATAAATGTCATGATGTATGTACGCACACGCACATGCGCACACACACAATTGTGATTAAAATATATTTTTATATATTTTCCTGAAAATGTGTTGGTTTTCACGGTATTAAAATTAATATACTGCATCAGACAGTGGATAAATTCATTCAGTATTAATATGGATTTCCAAGAAAGCCTTCTGAATTTATACTAGCAAAAATATGATTATTTTTCAAATGTTTTCGACTCAATGTAAGACATAATAAGTGTTCAAGAGGCAATGGCTTAGTGTCCCAAAAAAATTTGCACCGTTAAACATTATATGCAAGTTTCCATCAATGAATCAGACATGCAAACAGAGTATAGCAATCGCATTGGAAATGCATCACATTGATATTAGGTGAATTAATAATCATGAGTACTATTGTAATAAACATTCATGAAAAAATTTAAAATAAAGTATTTTATATTCCAAATATAGCCCTCAAAGTGCTTAGACAAACATAAGTACTCTAACAAAATGCAGATGGGCAAAAAGCTAATCTCTTCATTATTTTTGTTTTAATAATTTATAATAATACTTATATAGAATGGGCTTAAGGTGTTAAAGTACTATCATTATCAATGTTTTAACTTCACATTACATCAGGCAGCCTTCTAACTTAAACAGTGAAAATACCAGAGCCAAATCTTCTTATCCTGTCTATAAGCTGATAAAGGGCACCTCGTTTTTTTGACATCCCACGCTCTCCAAAGCCACCTTAAAAAAGAAGAAGAAATATTATGGAACTTAACAATACAATATGTTAAATACATAGTTAACATCTTATTGAGAAAGATTAGGAATTACCTTTTTGGAATTGCAATATATCTTTAAGGAAGTTTAAAATTCTTTAATGACCCACATACAAATTCTTTAAGTATTCTTGACAATGAAACAAAACCACTTTGTAGCTGAAAGATCTTCAAACTTACATTCCAGAATGCAAGCCAACATGTCTTTGTTATTCAGACATGTCATGACAATTACATCATCTAATTATTATTTGAAGCTTTTTTCTTCCTGGTGACCTTGGCATCCTCAGTGTCACATTGATTGACAGCTAGAAGCCCTGCTCTCTCAGAAGTTTCCTGAATGCATACCACAATTTTTCCATTTCCAAAGAGGAAGGAGAGAGACTGTTACTACCCCAAGGTCATTACAAAAATTAGAAAAAGAACAGAAAAAAAGGAAAAATGGTTGACTTTCTCCCAAAAGATACTGGGTTCTTTCCTTAGCCTTCAAATGGATCTTTAAAACACAGCCAGTTACACAAGGCTGGCTGAATGATAAAATATTTAAACGTGACTTCGGAGGCATATCTTTGTGTGTAGTTCCAATGATCAGTAAGTTACAGAAAAGCAGTTAAAGTTAACCACTCAAAGAGGCAGATGGATTGTTACTGTCTTAACATTTACCATACCATGTACAATTGTGCTCCAGCTTTCTACTGTATATATGGTTAATGTGAATCTGCTGAATACTTCTTACAAATTAGTTTTGTGAATATACTAACAATCACTTTTAACAGGGTTAGTAAGTGAGAAAAAAGAACACCATGATGTGCACTGAATACCTGGAATAGATAAAGAAGTTTCAGATAACTTTATAAAATGCCTGTAAGTTCTTTTGTAAGAAGCAAAAATTACTATGAAACATTAGTGTTTTTAAGCTACTGTAATAGGAGAAGAATGGTAGGACTAAAAAGACTGCAGGACCCATAATTATCTGTAGGCGTGGATCCTCCAACATTTCCTCAAAGCCTTTCTCCTCCTAGATTTCTTTTTCAGAATAACAGTATAGTGACATTACTTATTAAGAGCATATTTACTAAGTGGCTGTTTAAAAAGCAAATTAAAAGCTAGACAACTCCATGTAAGGCAAGCAAGAAAGTGTGCCTGCTCAGTAAATAACAATGTGCCTAATTATTTGGACTATACTGTCACATAGCTGCTGGATCCCTTGAGAAAGATTTTCTAAATTTTTTAAAACATTTTAGGGAGATGAGGTAATACTTCAATACATTCCTTCCCAAGAAGTTATTTGGTTAACCACAATATATTTTGTAAAACATACACATATTCTGTATTGCCTATTATCAATGCATTATATCTCATGTTAACATTTATTTTGTAAAATATTACATACACAGTAAAAGAATTCAGATAATTGTGAGAAAAAAATCTTTAGAAAACAGAATCTATAGAAAACAGGCAAATGTCAAAAGAGACACCATAAATCAGAGGAAGCCACGGTTTTATCATATTAGGAAGACATACCCCCTTAATTATTTGCAAAATATTAAAATAGAAATAAGGAGTAAGTCTTCTACCAGATTGTTACTTTTGTGTTAACACACACAATTTATTACATTTAATGAGCAAAGGGCCTCCTGGAAGACAAGAAATAAATAAAAGGAACATAAAATTTGGCAGACATGTTAATAATCTAGACATGGTAGCTTTCTTCCTGCTGCTGCTGCTGTTACTTTTACATTATGCGGATGCATTTTGTTTTATAGACAAAATAAAAGATCTGTGCCTCAAAAGGTCAAAAAGTAATGATCTAATATTGCAAATTCACATAAATAATCCTCATTGAATTTCCATCATTTGAGTCCAGTTTGCAAAATCATGCCCTACATTCATGATTTGTAATGCAAGAGCCAGACCCTGCAACCAGCATCTTAGTAACTGAACTCCCAAACATATCATTTTTTTCTCATGAAAATCAAATGGTCTTCAGTGGAAATCTACATAGAAGCAACTATACTTAAGGAATGTAACTTGTGAATTCGGTCTGAAATTACTTTTTTTTTCCTAATTGTGTCAACTATCTGCATCCACAGTAAAAATGGCAATTTTTTAAACAAAAAATATAATTTGAGTTTAGATCAGGTGGTGATTTTTTCTCCCTCTTTAATAATTACTTGTATTTTCTTTTCTTATCTACTGTGCCATGTTGTTTTATAAGTAGATGGTGGAAGAAAAAGGTATAATCATTGGCTCTAATTTGGCATCGCATATAAATATATGCTTAAATTTAAGCACTCACTCAAATGCCACTGAAATCAATGGGATTTACCTCTAGGTTTAAGTGTTTTGCTAAACTTGGGTCAAAGTACCAGTCTTTATAGTGTAAGTGCAATCAGAATTTTCAAGGTAAATACGCCAGCTATTAAAAAGGATCACTTCACTTGAGGACCAGTTTAAGTTCCATCAACTTCAGAAGCACTTATTTAAGCACTTTACAGCCTAGACTGCCTTTCATTATTCTATGTAGGTTACGGGGGAGTGTGG